CACTCACAACTCGCTTTAGTGTAAATATTTCCTTATGGCGAAACGATTACGAATAAACGATCTTAACAAATCGATTGACTTTTTCTTGTTCGAGTTCTCGATTTTTCGGCAACTGGTCAATGGGGTACTTTTTAACCACAACAGAACAGAATCAGGTTGATTGAGAAATTATTAAAGTTTTATTTTCTAAAGTGAAAAATGTTGGTACAAAACATTTGATCTAGAATATTCTATAACTTTATACAGGTAAACTAGACAGGTTTTTTTAGTTCGTTAAACATTTAACAAGTATATGATGCATCTTCATACAGTATTAACGAACGTTGCATGTTAGTGTATGCACGGTAAACTTACAGAGAACGCTCCATCTGTGTTTGCTCAGCGAATGAGTTTGGACTCAAAATAGGTACCCTAAAATGATGGATAGTCCTGGAAACGTATGAATGTTTGTGGATATTGAAAAGCAATTTTTCTGATTGTTTCATGTTTGCTTTTCAAAGGTTTGGTTGAAGCAACGAACGAGATTGATGTTTTAATTGGGAAGGGAGTTTAAAGCGAAACGTGATTTTTTAGAAGCAGAAATTAAAATGATGTTTAGATTAACAAAATATTTAAACAAAGGAAGACAAAAGTTCAATCCGTAATGACGTTCCTATTCCACAATTAGATATCTCAAAGTTTATCAAGGACTAGCATCTGCTAGACAATGGAAGAAGCAAATAACAATTGAAACGGGTATTTCATTTATAAAATGTTTTAAGTATTAAACACAAGGGCACATTATCTACGAGGCGCTAATGACGCGTTCGCTGAATGGGCACTAACTGACATAACATTCGAGTTAACAATAAAACGAAGTTAGGATAAGTAGTTTTCCATGTAGCGGGAACGAAACGTCTCGTCTGCGGCTCAACGCAAACAACGAAACATTCACAACGTTCCCATTCTTTTAGCAATATCGCGTTTTTCGTTCCGATTGCACCATTCAAACATGTCGGTGAATTCGGACAGGGCCACAATCAATTACCTCCCGACGAATTTACGACATCTCGTTCATCGAACACTCGTTTTATTGTCCGACAGCATTTTAATAAAAATGTCACCGTTCCGTCGCGGCGGTATCCGACGTGGAACCTCATCAAAATCGCATCAAAACATCCCCGAACACCCACTCGGTTCGTTCGAACATTTTTAACACCCATTTGAATCTAAATTTTACTTAAGTTCGCGACTCGGTCCTTCAGACACTTCATATCCCCCGGAGACGAAGCAATAAAATAATAACGACTCTGTTGCATAGTTCAAGTCTAAGATCTTCTAAGATATATGTACTGCACGTAGGAGTTTCTCGACGTCAGTTAGCGACGAATTAAGATGCTTTTTGTCAGTCGACAATATCTCGGCATTCATATCGCGAGCATCACCGCGTAATGTGGAATGTCGGGACGCGACTAATTCACGCGAGAAAATATCTTTCAAGACATTTGAATTTTTGAGAGAATTTACACTTATAACGCGTGTGTATTCGGAATTTTGCGAGTATCTGTTCCCGAGATGCCTTCAATGCCGGCCCTCACGTTCCGCGTTCAGGTATTTCTCTCTGTGAAGATTAACAAATTGTTCGCTTCATGAATTCCCAGCTCGCCTCGAGTATCGACGTTTACAGAGTTGCAAGCGTAATAAATGCTCGAGATTTACATAAACCGCTGCGTCCTTTGACAGTCGAATACTGATGAGCAGACAAGTTACGCTTCAGAATAACCACCGTGATGGAATAAAACCATAATTTGTTTTAGAAAGTTGTAATCTGCGTTGCCCTGTGCACTGGAGCTAGGCAACTGTGATTCAGATAGCATTCACTGAGCCATTCTCATTTATCTAACAAGATAAAACTTTCTGTACCTACTTACACCTACACCGAATAAACCTAGTTTACAAGTTTAATGCATGTTTCCTAAACAAAGGTTCAACAAAAACGTTGTTGAGAAAGCACAAAGCAAGAAAGTTGTACAAAATCCTGCAATTGCATTACTAGTTAATGCATTTTCTGATACAAAGAGCAAAGTATTAACGTGAAGCTCTCAGACAATGGCAAACACGAAGCGGAACGCAACGCAGCCGTCACGATAAATGTATCGAGCACCACAAATACCATCCGCCAACCGCCCGCAGACTTATTGTTTGAGATGGCACTGGTGAAAAATTGCTTTCCCCCTTTCTACCATCACTCCAAATATTCCAACGTCTCAATAACTTCTTCATTCAAACTTGCAATCGACATTCCTTACACAGCAAGAAACGAGCCTTTTAAAATTCAATTAAATAATTTAACTGCTATCAGATCCATAGTATTGGATATCTTGTTGCGGCTAATTGGATTGCGGCGAAGTTTCACATTTTTCCTCGGTCTTTCAGTACTCTCCACCGTTTCGTTTTGTATTTAATTTTTATCTTTACTACATTCGAGTGTTGAGTGCCGACGACGGCAAAATATAATAGGAAAAGTTTCATTTGGCTAATTAAAAATAAGCCACCGCTGGGTGCAATCCAGATTAATCGTCGTTATTCAACCTAACGTCTGCTGTGTCTGCCGTTTTATAATAAAAGCTAGTTCGCAAACGTTTTACAGAGTACATAGATACTAAAACAATAGGAAACCATGTTGACAATGTAGCGTGAATACCTCGGTAACTGTTTATTAAGAGAAAATACAAATGAAAGGCGAATCCACTTCGTTCTCTCTATTTTTATTTTACTTTGGAGCAAATATGGAAAACGTTTGTTGATTTTTGACGGCTACATTGTGAAGGAGAGAGCGGTTGTTTGTTTTTGTCGACTTAAGTAGTTGTATCGGGGGTGTAATGTAAGTAATGTTTATCTGATACGGTTGTTTTACGTTTCCTGAGCGCGATAAAAGCTGCGCATGTGGGGTGGCGGCGTGGCACCCCGTACGGCTCTTTAATTATTGCGTCACCTTCAATTCGGAAAGTTTTAATGTGTGTACATTCGTTCTGCGGGACGTGAAGTACTAACGACGCTTCGAGCACTCTCTGCAGCTCTCGTCTCCTCGTTGAAACGAGCTCTTCTCGCTCCCGTTGTTTGAACATCGAAACAAACGAACAGTACCACGATTAAATTTGTGCGACAGCGCGTTCCGACTGTACACATTACTTCGCCAATGTTAAATTCTTTGTTTCAGATTAATTTTATTTTTAAACTATTGTGTTACGGAAGTCGCTCCGAGTATGGTGGTCGGGTTTGGGGCGTTTCGACACCATTGAAACCGCAAAGTTTACTGGCTGCCAAGTTTCCCCGCACTATGTAAATTCAGTAGACATAATTAGAGGAAGCTACGATCGTCTACGCCGCTGAATGGCTCGGGCCGCTCTTGTTAACTGACTCCATACTAGACCAAATCGCTTTCTGCTCTATTCGTATATTTGCGGTCGGCGGTTGCTTACCTCGGAACACGGAGACATGCACTTACCTAAACTCGGCTGAAAGTTTTATGTGCCGGTTTACTGCCACGTCGAGTCATCGTAGACAACTATAAAAGGCGACGATTGCGAGACAAAGCGTGATCGGATTGAGTAAATAAATAGTCTGCGTCGGAGTGCTCATCAATCTTGCAGAACAAAAGTAAATTGTGCAAGTTTGCAACAGTCACTGCGGGTTCGTCGCCCTAGACCTGCAACCTCACTAAACTGTCGTGTGCGCGACACTTACAATTTAATTGTCACTCATTAGTCCTAAGGCGTCGAGTCTAGCGCCGTTTTAATTAACACAGTAATTCATAGACGTTTCATTAGCCACTTGCCGTGTCGTGTCTCCCAGGCAACGAGTGGTCCTGCGATTCAGTGTTATCAATCATAAAGTACGTATGAGTCGTGTGAGCAGCTGCTCGGTTGAATCAATCACGCGAGTCCCGAGCAGGCGGCACTCGCGCGACCAGTTATTTATCACGTTCAGGCGACAACACCAGGATCGCAATTTACAAATGGAGAGGAGCATTAACATACGGTTGCGAATGTTATGATGATCGGTTAAATAACAAAATGTTCGACACGACCGGAATAGACGGCGTTGGTTGGAGTTGGGTAGCAAGATATCGCGGCGGTGTTTGCCATGCCGGATGGCCCGCCCCCGCCCGCTCGTCTCTTGGCAAACTGCACTGCACTATACTGCAAATCATACTGAGTTTGTTTGCGTAGGTCAACGCTCTCGCCGGGTACGTTTTATGTGTTCCTGGTGTCACGACGTCACTCTAATAATAGATTGGAATGCTTAGCATCAATAAATGCACACTGGAATGTAAGAAGAGTTCCTTACACGCATCTCACATTCTGTTTCATGTTTAGTCCGCGTGCAGACAATTAGCTGGCCGATGATATTAATTTCAGATGTTCAACGGGTTTGGTTGGCTAACGCCAGAGACTCGAGTCTGTATCCATACGAGGAACAATGCTTTGTTAATCAATACGTCGGTAGAAAATGGTATTGGACGTATTACGCTTTGACAGCTCATAATATTATGTTTAATTAAGGCGTAGCGCTGTGCCTACGCTGCAACAGCAACTCGTTAAACTTTCATTATTATTCTCTCTCACAAATTGCTCGTACGTGAACGAATTGTGCTTCACAATCGATCTCCGTGGCTCGTGAGCCTTTGTTTGACTTCGACTCCGAATTCAGCGTAATTGCCTTTCAGCCTTTCATTATTCAACTTTATGCAGTCATTTACTTGTGTTATTACGAAGGGAGAGTTGCTGCGGTAAGTGTCGTGGGTGGATGCATTAATCGTAATATGTAAATGTGGGGATATGAAATATTGAAATTGCGGGCGTGGATTTACTATATCGTCTGCGCTCTAGGCGAGAGGGGTCGCGTTTGTCTATTGTTTTTGGTATAGAATATTATGGTTATTAGCGTTGTTATCGTTATGCTTGCAAGACGTTCTTTTTATGGCAATAATTTACTTACGGTTTATTCTTTTGTTACAGATCGAAGACGAGGGTAACCACGGCAACGATGACACGCGGCTGTTCATCCTTTCGACGCTGGCGGGTCAGCACAAGCCGAGGGTATCGTGCGCCTTGTGCAAAGAGACTCTGCACGTTTTCGACCGGTATCCGCTTGTGGACGGCACTTTCTTCCTAAGCCCGCGACAGCATACCAGCGGCGCTGTCGAGGTAGAAACTTGTTCTAGTATCGATATAAACTCTATAAGATATGGTTTTCAATGTTAGGTTCGTTTCAAATCAAGTGAATAGTTGCAGAAAGATCTTGCGAAAGGCTCATTCAACGTAAACCGTAAATAAAATCCGATTCTCTTCTCTATTATATTTTAAAATAGTTCGAGAATTTATTTTCTTATGTTATTCGAGAAACATCTTGACAGACAAAATTTACAAAAAACATTAAATGCTTAAATTAAATTAAAAGCAACACTAAGCCAGCAGTTTTAAGTATGAATTCAAAACAGAAAACTTAAATAACACGTTGTTAGTTTGTTTTCAAGACAAACGTAGTCATACAAGATTTGTTTGTCGAGTTATTTGTTTGTCGGATTAGACACGACTAGTCGCCTACTCGTTTTTGTTTGGTGTTAGAATTATCATGGAGCCTCCGATACTCTGTGTTTCTGCAACGTTTATATGAAGCTTACGAAATTATTTACTGTGTAATCATTTAATGTAACATTGACTACCGGAGAAAGAAACTCACACGAACTGTTTCTTTTAAACTATTTATAATCATTTATCTACAGTTACATAATTCCCTCATTAACGCAGTCGTAAATAATTGATAACTAAGTAGAGAAAATGAAAACAAATGATAACGCATTTCGCTCCACGTCAGGTTCACCTTTTATCGTAATTAGGTTTTGAATAGACGCGAGATAAACAGGAAAATTCTAGATGTTAATGGTAATTGAAAATGATGTAAATTTTTCCATCGTGCAGGTAAAAGTGGAAGGTCGCACGCAGTACCTGACGTGCGTGTGTATGGGCTGCCTGGAGCGATGCGACCCCGAGCGCACCATCCGCTGCCGGTTCTGTGGACAGAAGTGGGACGGCTCCTCTCTCGTTCTGGGCACCATGTACTCTTATGACATCTTCATGGCCACGCCCTGCTGCGCTGAGAGACTGAAGGTAAGATTTCTATGCTCAATAATTATAAAAGCGTCATTTAAACTGATCTATAAACACATCTTATGAATTTAAAACAATATTTACACTGTGTTTCCATTGTCTACAGTGCAACAACTGCTACAAAGCCCTGCTCCACCCCCAGCAGCGGCTAAACTACTCGGACTACTCGCACCCCATGGCGTGCCCGCACTGCCGCGTGCTCGACACCCACTTCGTGAAGCCGCTGAGCTACTGCTTCACAAAGAGGGCCTTCCCGCTGTTCCAGCAGTGGCCATAACAGTCGGCGGTGCCGGGAGGCTCTCCCGGCACCCCCCCTTCTTCTGACTCGTGGGGCCTGGCCCCGTCGCCTCCGCGACGCGCCTCCCCCCCAGCGCTGCGTCCCGTCGTCAACACCAGCATGGCACCTCGTGTGCTAGAACCAATTACCGATGAACCACAAACCCCCAAGTACGTTTCTCCTACTCTTGCGAGCATAACGGAGTCGTTGTCTCTGCTCGGAGTGAGCCCGGAGACGCTCGCCATCAGCCTGGGCGAGACGCTGGCCGAGCGCTACCTGGCGTCGCTGCGCAGCAAGCCGGCGGAGCGGCCGGTGGAGCGGCCCGTGGAGCGGCCCATGGAGCGACCCATGGAGCGGCTGGGCGGCTGCGGCATCCCGCGGCGCGCGCCCGGCCTGGCCGAGCCCTCCCTGCAGCTGTTCTCCAACGACTTCATCGACATCCTGAACCAGATCGCATAATCTCGTGGAGTGCTCGTGACGGATATGACGCGGCGACTATTGGACTTCTCTGTGTTGTAATGTTTGTTTCTTGGACCTTACTGCGCCCGGTGACTCCGGTCACGTTAGAAATAATTTCTGTTAAATTAAGTTGGTATTATTGAAAATAATTTTATGTGTCAGTTTAGATCGTACTATTGATTTTATTTTAATTTTATTCTGCACTTTGTTGATTAGGAGTTGATTTTATCGAAAATAATAATTAGCGATATAGTGATGCCAGAAATTGCATTTTTTGTTTCGGATCAATCTTAAATTGGAGAACTTGATTTCCTTTTGAAGGAGTTAAAGGCGTGAGTTTTTTAAATTATTGATTACCTTGTATTTCAGTGATACTGATGACCCTATCTGATAGGGGCGTTTGAGTGGAGTGTTGTTTAGTTCAATTTAGTTTATTAGTTATGTTTTATTTTAGCAAAATTTTAAACCTAACTTAAGTGTTATACAATATTTTCGTAGGTTTATTGTGAACTTTTATTTCCTCCCACCAAATGGCACTTTATAGTGTAAGGGAAGTCTACTTCTACTAAAGATGCCATGTTAGGTTATCGTCTTTAATATCAGTTCATTTACTTATTATATTTTCACATACATACCTTATTTAAACAGTAATGGTAGAGCATTATAATTGTAAGTACCTAATTGCTGTGTCACCAATAATATGATTAGCCTGTCTATAACTATTACATGTATTGTAGGGTTATGTAATGTCGAATTGTTGTTTTACTTATCTTTTCAAATATTTATATCTCAATGATTAACGGACTGCATGAAGATTTATGAAAAAAAAATATAAAATCAAATATAAACTTTTTGGAATAGTGCCATATCAGTTGAGAAAAAGGTGAAATACTCCTTTGAAATAATTAAAATAAAAATAAGAAAAAAAAAGAAACGAATGCCGCTAATCATTGAGAAAAGACGTTTAATTTTTTAATTAAAAAAGATATTAAATTTTTATACTATCGACTACGTTTTGGCTATCTCTGAATAGTTTTAGTTAAGGGTTTTTTCTTATTATGGATGTCTATATATTTGTAAGTAAATAGCGCTTCGGCATTTACTAAGCGTATATAAGTGATGTGCGGATTTTTACTCAGTAATTACTGTTAACTTTTTAGGTAAGGTTTTATACATTTGATACTTATTACTCGCGAAGTGATTACAAGTGATAATTCTTAGTAATAGTGCGTGTTTAGTGATAAAAGGAAAAATAATAACAACTTATAAGTGGTGCGGATAGGCGATATGGGTGTATACAGAGAAAAAAAAGTGATAATATCGACGGATTATCCGTTTGTTTAGGCAATAATTCTAATGAAGACTTGAACACTTTTATAGGTAAAAATTTTTGCATTATTATCCTTCTTAAATCGATACTGCCATTTACATTTTACTAATCTAATCAAATCATTGCTTAGGTCGGCTTCGATTTTATACGCCAAATTTTATCGTTCGAATATAACGTCATTTTTAATTCTATAGTAATCAATTTCATGAAATGGACAGTGATTTCTCTCTTGTGTCGAACCGAATGTTTCTAATAACAATTATTGTTTTAACAATTTATAATTGACTAATTGTTTCTTTTCATCTGTAAATTTTCAAGATGTCCAACGATAAATTTTGCGTATATCATCGAATGAAACGATGTGTGTTCTTTCTCATTTTGGACTGACTAAGACTAGTCGGATCTTGGACTAGTTGCTACTGTTGCGTAGTTATAGGTCACCTCATAATACGTCACGCCATCATCCGCATCACTGCACCTCATTACGTCATCGTCATCACGGCACGGTTTGAGTGGACGGCAGACTGGCCTCTATGCTCTCAAAAATAAAATACATTCTCCTTCACCACGATTCATCAGCTTAAGTATTTATTGAAAGCTTTTGTGTGTATGTACGAGTATCTGCTTAGAATTTATTCAGTAGTAGTTTTGTTTTATTTAGAGACTGGAGATCCAAAGATTATCTGAAATATTTATTTGGAATTTTATATGTCTTGAATGGCACCAGCCTCGCATTGTAAAAGAATCCCGCTAAAACAGTTTTGGCAGCTGCTTTTTGAACAAAAACTGATCGTAATGTCTGACAGTAATTTGAGCTTTCATAAAATATTTAACGATGCAATGTTATTGAAGCGTCGCTTGCGCACATCCCAGACCATAGTCGCCAGTCGCCTTGTGTGGTTGTAATACCTCTTAAAATATTTTTAAATTAGTATCCTCTGCTTTACTTACCCTTAAGATTAAAGATATACCTGAGACAACAGCATGGCGATATTTGTACATATGCCGATACACGCAGAAGCTTAAAAAATATTTAATGAGATATTATTGCATATTTCTAGTTTAGCAGTAAATCGATAGTACATAATTTCAATAATATCAAAGATCCCTATACTTATTTTAAAGCGTCCCGGCCGCGAACCGATCACACTTCATATGTTAATCAATTTTAATTTTATCGAAGTTTGCTCGTTCGAATATAGAATTATATTTAAAGTTGAATATACATTTGAATAAATAAATGTATGTAATCAATAATAAAATATTTGAAAAAAAAAAAGTAATTAAGGCGAGCTGTTGTTGGTATATTTAGAAAAATATTATGATCCAGATCATCTGATGGTGACCATGTACAAAAATAAGTGAAGTGTGTTCGGGCCGCGTGCTGGCTAGTGGTCGACCATAAATTTATAAAATCATATTGTTTAATAGTCAAATACAGAGCCATCTATGTAGGTCTATTATCGTAGTAGGTACGTGTTTACGATAACGCATCGAATGTATCAAAGTCAATGACTCCCCCTCTATCCTGTACAAATTCAAAGTATTTTGAAATGCTATATTGAAACTAAATCCAATAAAACTTATATAATAGTCCTCTGATTCAATAATAAGGCTGTTCGTTTCATATTTTATAGATATTTCAATATTGATACTTTGATAAACATTACCTCTTTAGATACAAAGGAAAAAAAATAGTAAATTATAGTAACGGAGTGGCTTCACAAATTAAATTGTGTTTAGAGAATATTTACAGTTATGAGTGGTGGAGTGCGCACGGTGACAAAGTTGTGTACTCTACGCTCTGCTAAAATATACAACCCAGAGTAAACGTTTATTGTAGCCACTAAAGAAAATATTCCAGGGATTCAACTCGGTCGGACAGTTGAGAATCTTACAATATTTGTCCCGTTTTATTTAAAGTATATCTTCTTTTTAAAGCTCCTCTACAAATTGAGCTCTTCTAGAGTTTATTATTTTGAAGATTATATCGATACTTCAAAGGTTGTATAGATAATATAATTTAATAGTCCGCAGACCCACGTCCGTAGGTGCGTCTGTATACAATAGCTCGGTTCTTCCTAACTTTCGTACGCAAATATTACATTATCTGAATATGTGTTTGATTATTCATATTTTAGACACTTAGTTACTTGTTCAGTTTTAATAATAAATGTAATTAACACAAACGTTGCCAACTTTCTTAGTTTATTTGCACATATTTGTTAAATTTTATAATTATTGACAATTTATTTAGACACCGACATTCGAATTTCTTCATGTTGAATTTTAATGTGGTGTAATTTAGTGAATTGCTTAAAGTACAAAGAAACAATTTGTTACTTTTGCAAATTTTATAAAGTAAATCAAATACATATTAAAAGTATCCTCAACTTAGGTAAACTTTATGAAATAGTTGCTGTAATCCTATATAACCTAAATTGTTTTTGTTTAACAGAATTATGTACCTAATATTTAAACAGTTTTTATTGGTTTTTATGAAAAGGTATTTTATTTTACGTTCGTTAAAGTTTAGGAGCAAAATTGTTACTTATTATAAATATCTATATACTTATCTTCATGATTTCGATCTTGATTACTTTTTGACGCGTATTTTATCGAATGCTATATTAGACTCTTACATTGTACCTCTAGCACTCCTTGAGTAGGACTACGTCATCGGCATAATATTCGTTTGATCTATAAGTATTGTGTCTCGCTTGAATATAGGTTAATCAAATCTTATTTCCATTGTAGTTCTTATTTAGACTCGTAGGGTTTTCTTTAATACTTAATAATTGGTATGAATGGGGATGTATGTATGGTCACACTTAACATTACGTTTAGTCATCGTCTCGTTCTCTTCATTAACGATTAATTAGTTATCGGTAACGATGTGCTCGTGCCAAGCGAGTAGCGTTATTGCGAATGGTGTACATTCTGGTCATAGGAGGTGCGGTCGCGCCACGCCTAAGTATGTGAAATTAACTTAAAATCTTACCGTGATATGTAACGTAGATTTACGCATTCGATGTAATGCCTGCCTTTGTCTCTGCCGGCTTTCAACATTAAATGTTTAACGGTAGACCGACGTCGCGTGTCCGTTGCATAATGTTCTGTTGTACTCGCCATATAAGATTCAAATTACATTGCAAATTAGTTGATGGCATGTTTATGCCTTTATAATACTTGTAATAAACGTTGTCCCTTCACCGAAGCATTTCTCGTCCCATAAACATTTTTTATGTCCTGTACAACGATAAGTCTGATAATGTTGATAGCAATAATTTGCAACAGTACTTTATGAATAGACCTGTGTAGTATCACATTGATATTTTTATAGTATGTCGCTTTACTGAGGTGGAGCCAAGTCTGAGGCAGGTTAGTTATCAATGTGACATTCAGCATCCAAATGATACCCGGCGTCCATAAGCTCAAAATTCCAAAAACGCATTGGCTGATTCTAGTATACGGCTGTTATTGGTTAGTGAAAAGATGCAAATCAAAAACATGTTAATTATATTTTGATACTCGATGTTTTCTACACTAATGTAGTAGGTTCGTATTAATCTTTTGTATTAACTTGTATAGGTAGGATAACGTCGCGTCGCGCTCGTACGCAGCTCGTAGTTCGGACGAAGCCGCAAGCGTATCGCCGCAGTTCATCGTACGGTTTATTTGTAGACTGATCGCACCATCTGATCAGGTTAATTGCTCTCGAAGTAACAAACGCGATACGATTGTCTAGGTGATATTACATTACAGCCATTAGTGCAGTCGCTGACAGTGAAGTCAATACAAGTTAGTGGTACAAGTCCCGTGGACTCCGACGTAAAGGCCGATACATTTTGTACGCACATTTATAAAATTGGTGATAATCTGACGAATTGGTTAAAGATAATAACTAAGTTATCGCGTAGCGGGGTGCATCAGGGTATGAGTGTCATAATTTGTAATAACTTAAAAAATTAAACCTTTTGTACTTTCGTAACGGTAACGAGTAATTTAGTCGTAAACTTTTTCTATTAATATGTATTATGCATAAATTAAACATCAAGTAAATAATATACTTTTTTTACTGGAATTGTAGATGTAGTATTTTTGTAAGACAATCGAGACTCGGATCTCGTTCGTGTATCACAGCGATAATAGATATTGTGTAAGACCGATTGTGCGTCTAATGTTAGGAAATAATCTTGAGGGAACATGTCTAGTATACCAAGCAAGGAATCTACGAATACCGCGATCAAGGTTATTTCATTATATTCGACTCACGTCACTAATGGTCATTTGTGTAATTAGGCTAGTATGTCTTATAACTATTTGTGCATTTTCTATTTAATTGGATGCTTTGTAAAAGTCAAACTAATTGGAGATACGTTTTCGTTTATCGGAATGCAAAAAGACGGCATGAAATCGATGCATTTTAATGTAACCGCAGACTGTACGCTCCGTTGCTGTTGGTTACGGCAAAATGTGTATCAGAGTAATTACCGACGCAAATGATTGATCGCTTGTCTAACATTAAAAACAGAGCTACTATGCGGCCAAACTAATTGGCTCATATAATAAAAATGTCTTTTAAAAGCATCTCAACATTATAAAGCATTTCTTCATAACTACTTATGTGTAACGATATTGTATGTTCGAATGAGTGAATAACTTTGATATATTTTAAAATACTTCCTTTGTCCTCTGTAGGTACAATGGATATCTTCGTAATTTTACTAATATTGAGTGTGGTCATGTGTTATGTGTAAGTGTTCGTTTCTATAATGATCTCTTGTTTACTTACAATTAACTGAAATAAGGTTTGAGAGTCGTGGAACGATGCTGAGATGCTCAGATGGAAACGCCAATTGATTAATTTTAAGTAAAGTATAAGTGCTTGAATTATTGTAAGGGTCGTTTTAAAATTATGCTATACCATTGAAAATTGATATTATTTAAAATCTTCGATACGTCTGAACGTATATTTTTGTATATTCGCGAGTCGATGCGTAAGGAATTGGCACAAGTAAAGTGTAAGGTATAAGATTAATCTGATTAAAGTTAAGATAAGAGAAAAAGTTCCATTTTGTAACGATTTAAAATATTGACGAAAGCTATTAATTTTTGTAACGATAGTGAGCGTTGTAATTGTCTTTATTGTAAAGTTTGGGAAGCGAGAAGTTAGATGATAAGATTGTTTCAGAAAATTGTAATAAAACTGAAGAGGCGAAAAAAAAACATGTTATATTTTATACGAATCCTGATATTGTATGCCGCTCGGGCGGATTTTGTGTTACTTTACGAAATAGATATAAGTTTGCTCTTTAAAAGAGTTTTTGAGGTAGTAGGTTTAGTAGGCTTAGTGTTTTTTATACTGGCTTGATGTTGTGACATTTATTATTAATATGATATCGATAAAACGCAGTACTACCGAACTAGCAGCCAACACTGATCAATAGTAGAATGTGTAGTGGGTACTGACTTGGGATGCATTCAGTTTTCGTTTACGTGGGCGACGAGCGGGCAGCATCCCTGCACTTGTGATCTTTACCAAAGTGTTGCTGTTCGCAAGCATATCATTTTAATACGACGCTAGATACTTTTCGGTACAAAATCTTAGCAAAGTTTTAATTCTATTCGATTTATGATATATTGTTAGACAATTCTGTGTCTCCAGAGTTGTGGAGGAACGCTTGCGGATCGCGCGATCTCCTCGCAAGCCGGTTCTAGTCGGTTCCGTCGGCTTCTCCATCAGTTCTTGCCCGCGGTCCGGACTACCTCGCAACGCGTTCCCCTGCAGCCTGGCGATCATCCTGAATTATTTCAGTTTATTAGCAGAATTATATTATTGTCTAGTATTCCGATTATGTTACGTTTTATATTGCTTATATTATATATTATGGATACAATGTTTATTAAGTATTTAATATTCATTTTGATGAGGACCTAGTCGATTCTCTATATATCACATCTCCCAAAGTACAAATTCCTTGTTGTTTAGTCCAATTTTGTTTGACTGTTATTGAATGGAAATTATTTTAGCGAGCGTTCGTTGGCAGAGCGTCGCCGAGCGTGGCGGGTGTCGGGCGCCCGGCACGCGGGGCGCGGGGCGCGGTCTCTTCTCAATGTGAACCCAGCCTGTTGGTCGTAGGAACCAATGCTATCGGCAGTCTTACGGCTCCTCATTATATCGTAGCCGCCGGAGTAAATGTTGTAGTAAACATAAACAAAACTAGTTGAAATAAATCCATATTACATTAAATCGTTTATTTACCGTGCCGAAATAGGCACGTTATTACAATTTATGTTTAGCAGCTTTTAACTTAAGTTAGATTAATTTTTAATAATTTACCTATTTTAGTTAATGCACAATGAATAACCCAATAAGTTTACTTTCATTTTCTACTAATTGTATTGTACACAATTGCAATGAATTTATAAGCCATGTAAAACCTCTTACGATTGTCAACATCTTCTTTTAGTAAGTTTACCATTTGTTTTTAGTTGATACGTAATCGCCTACTACACATTATCGATTGGAAAGCTGGTTTAGCTATGAAATATTCAAATGACACTATACCTACGATAAATACAATGAAACCTTTATAAAAATAAAATCTATAAAAAATATATGTTGTGTTTTATTTTTTATGAGTTATGACCTTACTTGTTTATGTTATACAAAGGTGAAAATTGGGGTGTTCCATGGGAATGATAGAACGAATGATCATTAATAAGTGTTAAATGTTTATTTGAAACTTAAACAGTAATGCTATTAGTCCCATCTAGTCTCATATAATGGGTTACTAAAAATGCATTTTATTTTAGTCCCAATATTATTAACTCCTTATATTATACCAATCAATATTGGTTTTCCAACACAGTAAAGAAACCTAGTCTTCTATTATATATTATATATTCGAAACTTATTATACGAACTGAAATTATTGTGAAGTCAGGTCCAGTTAAGAATCAAGAAACTAAAAACAAATACAAAACCTTATTTTATTTATTACAAACTGTAATGGGTTAGGTTCGAAAATTTTGATGCGTGCCACCGTCAGCCAAGATCGTTACAATCTGGCTAGTTAGATAGACTACTAGCTTAGGGACATATTTTATTTAACGATACCTACAGATAATCTAAAAAAAGAAAACAAATACCCAAGAGTATGACAGGCATTTGAATGCTCAACTGTTGTGGGTTGAGTATAGAGGTTTTAAAAGCGGGCCCACTTTAACTATCGTCATTCCAACCCCGTCCATTAGTCATCTTTATATTAGCATATCGCTCTAGAACGGCCATAAAAGCCAAGACCTAATATTTTAAGATATTTTCTATCCATTCATGAAATCGTTCAATATACCTATTATATAATTTATCCGAAAAAATAGACTAAAATCTGAAATGGAACGACAATTTTGTGTGAAAACTCATCTATCTTTACTTTATGTCACTATTTTACAGCTTCTACAAAGGCGTGCGTTCGCGCAGCGGAATGTTGTTGAATTTAAAGATTTTAATTATGCAGATATTTAGTGTATGACGTCGTATAATTGTGTATGGTAAAAAAAAATTTGTGCACGCAACCATTGTGGAGAAATTCACCAAAAACTGATTCCGCTGGGCGAACGTTGTCCTGGCGGAACTTTTTTTAATCCATAGACTTTAGAAGAAAAGAGATGTATCCAAAAATTAGTGTGTATTTGTGTGTGATTGTGTATGTATGAATAAAACTAGTGCATGCATAAACTTCTGAGAAATTCAAGTTTCCGCTACGCGAATGTTTGGCCATTAGCTAGTTTTCATATAAAGCGCTTACATAGAGAGCTGTAGATTTTTACACACGTTGTTTTGAATTTGTTTATATTTGTTTAAAAAACAGATTTAGAAAACATCGTAGGGTTTACAAGATAAAAATATAAACGTAAAATACGCTTATCAGGTCCTAGTTCTTAAAGTATGGACTTTGGGGTCTAGATTTTCACGTTTATACAAACCTTGTAAGTGTCTGCAACATGTTGCCAAGTATCAATGATGTTCCGTTAGTAATTAAATAGTTATAGGACAATTATGACAAATTTACCATGAATAGATCACTGTTTACAAAGCAGTCAAATATCACGACTTTCTAAATGAATTGCATGGTAAAATGTATTCCAGTAATTAGTGTATTTATTCAACTATTCACATGCAAAATTTCATGTCATTAAATTCAGTAATTAAAGAAAAACAATTATAATACTGACGAAGCATCGAAAACCTACATAACCCGACCAAGTTCGGATGGCTACAAAAAAGCGGCCGTGCCATATATCTAAGACACGTTCTTAACTTTTCAATATAGCATTTATTAATATGGTACAGTATCGTACACAAGCGTTAGGAAAAAATAAAAATATTTTAAGAAAAAAATCGATTCAAGAAGAGGTTTTTTTTAAGTTATTTGATTGTTTGATCCACTAAAGTTGCAAAGGGGAACGCTCGTGCATGCCTAGTCTATTGGTTAAATAGTGTAATAAGCTACAATATGATAAACATTTACCTAAACAGTAGTACATACTTACATGTGGTAAATATTTAATTTCCCTAAGGGTTCCCTTCTATAGTTAGAATCCTGATCCGTGAAATCTTCAATAGAAACTAGCTGTATGAATTTTATTTGTCTTAAATATAATTAGATTATATCTCAAGTCTCAAGCGCATACTTAAATAAAATACCTACGTAAATAGTACCTACTTTCTGTCATAGTAAAATACATTTAAAAAAGTAGGTGTCCAAAAATAAATGACCTATAAATTATTTCGAAACAACAAGTGTGTTATCACCTGTACCAATTCAATACCGGTATTATACTGTAAATTTTAGGATGTTACCTAAATATATTGCACGGCCGCTTTTTTGTAGCCATCCGAACTTGGTCGGGTTATGTAGGTTTTCGATGCTTCGTCAGTATTATAATTGTTTTTCTTTAATTACTGAATTTAATGACATGAAATTTTGCATGTGAATAGTTGAATGAATACACTAATTATTGGCATACATTTTACCATGCAATTCATTCAGAAAGTCGTGATATTTGACTGCTTTGTAAACAGTGATCTATTCATGGTAAATTTGGCATAATTGTCCTATAACTATTTAATTACTAACGGAACATCATTGATACTTGGCAACATGTTGCAGACACTTACAAGGTTTGTATAAACGTGAAAATCTAGACCCCAAAGTGCATACTTTAAGAACTAAGACCTAATAAGCGTATTTTACGTTTATATTTTTATCTTTTAAACCCTACGATTTTTTCTAAATCTGTTTTTTAAACAAATATAAACAAATTCAAAACAACGTGTGTAAAAATCTACAGCTCTCTATGTAAGCGCTTTATATGAAAACTAGCTAATGGCAAAACGTTCGCGTAGCGGAAACTTGAATTTCTCCGAAGTTTATGCATGCACTAGTTTTATTCATACATACACAATTACACACAAATACACACTAATTTTTGGATACATCTCTTTTCTTCTAAAGTCTATGGATTAAAAAAAGTTCCGCCAGGACAACGTTCGCCCAGCGGAATCAGTTTTTGGTGAATTTCTCCACACTGGTTGCGTGCACAAATTTTTTTTTACCATACACAATTATACGACGTCATACACTAAATATCTGCATAATTAAAATCTTTAAATTCAACAACATTCCGCTGCACGAACGCACGCTCTACAAAGTCCTAGGCAATAAATATCAAGCTATCAGCATAGCAAAACAATGGCTCGGAAACACCATAGCAATGTATCACACACCCTCTCAAAGGATTAATTCAGAGTTAGGAGTAATCAGCCTTCCTTCCTCTAATCCAGTTGCTACTAATTCAGTAGATAACGCTAAATTTCTCAGAAACATGCGTTCTGGTATTAAGGATGATTTAATTTGCATTTAAGTGTAAAATGTACGGATTTCTGTAAGCTAAGTTGATCCTTGTAATCACTTGATGAGATAAGGTTTGTATTGTAGTAGTATGTGAAGAGATGGCACTGATTCAGAAATGTGTTAGAAGTCGTTTCCAGTTAGTAGTTTCTAACTAACTAAGCAGTCAAATTCAACACTTTTATTGAAACTTCAGAAACGATTCTTTTAGGGTCTAATTTCTGTGTAAATATGTTTCTGAAGTTGAATCTTGCAACGAAATTTTGAAGCAAGATGTCTTCAACTGATTGCGCTGAAATATTGTAAGTATAGTACCTACACCAGACCTTTAGTTTGCCAGGCCATAAATGTTAAGACTAAGGATTTTTTTTGCTTTAGCTCGCCCAACACGTCTTTCGTAAAAGGAAATGGTTAATTTATTTTTACTCACTCATTCGAGTAGCGATCGGGAAAGGGGATACTTTACAATAACACAATATTATTATTATAAGATGATCAACGAAGCTAAGAATTCAAAACACTCATACTTGCTGTACATATTAAAACATAATATTGTTTACTAACCACAGGAAAAATATACTAACATAACAACTACACGACCACAACTAACCACCGACTTACATACAACCACTAAAATAATAACAATGATTTAACTATGGAAGTAGAGCCAGTAATCTTAAACGGCTCTTTAAACCTTATAGGCTATCTCACTGACCCAAACTGGTCCAAGTGAACGTGATAAATGTTATCCTATTTAATCTGTTGATAGCTACTCGATATTAACAAGAGAACTTAGTGTCCGAGTATGCAAGAACAGGGATGTATTTAGAATTTTTTTTTTAAGGGGTGAAATTATCAAATTACGTCTCTTAGTGGGTGGAGCGAGAGGGAGTGGCAGACTCTTCATCATCATCATTATCATCATCATAAAACGTCCAGTGTTGGACAAAGGCCTCTCCCTTAGCCCTCCACGTCGAACGACATGTTGCCACTTGCATCCATTGGCTCCCCGCGACTCTGACGATGTCGTGGGTCCACCTAACGGGGGGCTACCCCGCTATGTTTTCCGGTCCTTGGTCGCCACTCTAGTACTTTTCGGGCCCATTGGCCGCCCGTCCTTCGAGCTACGTGGTCTGCTCATTGCCACTTCATCCTGCAGATTTTACGAGCTATGTCGGAGACTTTGGTTCTTTGGCGAATTTCCACATTTCTTTTCGACTTTAAGGTTTTCAAGAATGCCAGAAGTTAGGGACTCAGGTAGACTCTTACTGCCTGAAAACCAACCCCGTTACTTCTCCTGCTTCAGGCTGGGGCCGTGGTACATTATTGCGATGCATCCACAACCATGTATTTAAAGCCTTATATTAAGTTTACCTAAGTTTGTAATTTCTATGAAAGTAATATGACGTCATCACGGGGTTTGCACCATTTTAGTTTGTAAGGACACAGTTTGTAGTACAAGAGTAAAATAGCCGTTTGGTACACTAGTATTCCAGACTAGACAAATTATGAAATAATGATAAATATAATAATTATTTTTATAGGTATCTACATTCAATCCATTGTGAAGTTTAATGGAACAAATCCCTGAACATTACCCTTTTATATACTTATCATTTAGTGATTTGGGCCCCCTCCATCTTACGATATAAAACGTTAATCCAAATACGTCTCTGTGCAGGTCGCCTCACTATACCCATAAA